TGTTATTTATTTGTTTGTTTCTGTGATTATGGAATGTTATTGTTTGTTAAATGATACAGTTGTTATGGCTACCAAATAAACACACCATTAATTTATTTCTCCTAAATTCAAACGCATTTACTGGTCTCTCAGGGGCAGTGGGTGGTGACTTTATTACTCGTCTCTCAGGGGCAGTGGGTGGTGACTTATTACTCAACCCTCAGGGGCAGTGGGTGGAGGCTTATTATTGGTCTCTCAGGGGCAGTGGGTGGTGACTTATTACTCGTCTCTCAGGGGCAGTGGGTGGTGGCTTATTACTCGTCTCTAAGGGGCAGTGGCTGGTGGCTTATTACTCCTCTCTCAGGGGCAGTGGGTGGTGGCTTATTACTCGACTCTCAGGGGCAGTGGGTGGTGACTTACTCGTCTCTCAGGGGCAGTGGGTGGTGACTTATTACTCAACCCTCAGGGGCAGTGGGTGGAGGCTTATTATTGGTCTCTCAGGGGCAGTGGGTGGTGACTTATTACTCGTCTCTCAGGGGCAGTGGGTGGTGACTTATTACTCATCTCTCAGGGTCAGTGGGTGGTGGCTTATTACTCGTCTCTCAGGGGCAGTGGGTGGTGGCTTATTACTCGTCTCTCAGGGGCAGTGGGTGGTGGCTTATTACTCGTCTCTAAGGGGCAGTGGGTGGTGGCTTATTACTCCTCTCTCAGGGGCAGTGGGTGGTGGCTTATTACTCGTCTCTCAGGGGCAGTGTATTACCTTGCCTGGTAAACTGTCAGTATTTCACTTAGAGAACTTCAAGGGGGGTGATATATTTAATTTGTAGAGAATATGAGAATTTAATACAGAATAGTGACAAATTATTTACAAAATGACAGATTAGTACAAGCCTTAATACAAATCATTAATCATAAATCATAGTTAAAACAACAGACTAGAGCTCTCATAGTAAAATATCAAAATATTAGATAATATAATCTTATATAGAACATAGATATTTATAATAAAATACAAATTTATAAATCATAGTTAAATCAACAGTATAGAACTCTCTCTATAAGGTTTATAGTAAAATATCAAAATATTAGATAATATAATCTTATATAGAACATAGATATTTATAATAAAATACAAATTTATAAATCATAGTTAAATCAACAGTATAGAGGTTTATAGTAAAATATCAAAATATTACATAATATAATCTTATATAGAACATAGATATTTACAATAAAATACAAATTTATAAATCATTGTTAAATCAACAGTATAGAACTCTCTCTATAAGGTTTATAGTAAAATATCAAAATATTAGATAATATAATCTTATATAGAACATAGATATTTACAATAAAATACAAATTTATAAATCATAGTTAAATCAACAGTATAGAACTCTCTCTATAAGGTTTATAGTAAAATATCAAAATATTAGATAATATAATCTTATATAGAACATAGATATTTATAAATATTTACATAGTATACATCGTATTTATTGAATATAATGTTATTTCTCTGATCTGTGTGATATTACAATGAATCACAAACTGATTGTCAGAATCTAAAAATACGTACAAGCAAGACAATTCCGTTAATCAAATTCTCATCTAAAGAATGGTAAAATCCAGAGTAAAAGTTGCATACATATAGTAGTGGACTCCTCTAAAGAGAAGTACAATCAGGTGTTTCGACAAGAGTAAGCATGATATCAATAGTTATTGTTTAAATCAATGAATTCAGACCAGGTGATATGATTTCACAATAAACACTGTTACTGACTAAACTCTATTTCCATGATATTTCTCTGATCTGTTTAATATCAAATTCAATTACCAATTGATTATTAAAATTTAAATAACCATTGTTTTTATCAGTTAGTTCAGACCAAGTAATAGTATCTGCCCAACCCCAAAATCCTGTCACTGTATCAATTCTCTGGTTATTCATTACCTTTCCTCCTTACCAGACAACTCAATACCAGGTTGTTCTTACTGTGATAATCAGTGTAATCTTTCTCTATATCACTGACATTAAAGAGAAAATCACACGAACCTGGTATGTAAAATGATTCTTTAGAAATAACCGACCTTAACTGATCTATATCTAAACTAAAATCCTCCCCCTCCCACTGTAAATACTCTAAACACAGAGTATAATCTTTCTCACTTTCACTCTGTTTTTCTATTTCTACCACATCAGACAATGTTTGTAAAATGTTTAATGTTGTTTTAGTTGAAGTGAGTTGTTTAGGGAAATATTTGATTCTATTTTACTTTCTAGTTCATTTATATCACTTGTTATTTCCTCTTCTCTATCTTCTACTTTACTCCTATTTTCTTTCACATTATCTCTGATTTCATTTATAATCTGTTCACAACTATTTCTTAAATCTGAAACAATTTTCTCCGTTTGTTCAGTCAGTTTAGCACAGGAATTTTTACACAAAGTTTTCAGTTCTTCAAATGATTCTAATAATGAAGATCGTTTCATCTTTAAGTTATTGATTTTGTTTTTAATGATTTTTTGTGAATGTTCAAATTTTTCTATGGCTTTATTCCGTGTTTCGTCACTTTCTATATCCAGTGTTTTATGTTTTTTGTGTTTTCCTAATATACACTTTAAACACAATCCTACATTACAATTATTACAGTAATAATCAACCTCTCTCTGATTGTGGTTAGGACATTTTGGTTGTTGTGTTGAAGACGGTTCAGGTTCTTCTGTTTGTTGATTGGTTTGTCCTTTATTGTCGACCATAAAGTTGGTAGGAAACTCCTTAGCGCCACCTTCTGGAATATTGACGTCCTTCTTACACAATGGACAAGGGAATATCTTTATTTTAGCACCAATATGTTTCTCTATACTACCGATATGTTCTTCAACACACTTCAAACAAAATGTGTGTCCACATGATAACATCTTTGGTATTTTTATTATTTTAAAACAAATAGAACATTCTGGTGTGTTACTTACTGTGGCCATTTTAAACTTTTATAAAACACACTAGAGATATCCTGGTTGAAAATAGAATATTCAGGTATAAAACACACTAGAGATGTGCTGGTTGAAAATAGAATATTCAGGTATAAAACACACTAGAGATATCCTGGTTGAAAATAGAATATTCAGGTATAAAACACACTAGAGATGTCCTGGTTGAAAATAGATATTCAGGTATAAACACACTAGAGATGTCCTGGTTGAAAATAGAATATTCAGGTATAAAACACACTCGAGATGTGCTGGTTGAAAATAGAATATTCAGGTATAAAACACACTGGAGATGTCCTGGTTGAAAATAGAATATTCAGGTATAAAACACACTAGAGATGTCCTGGTTGAAAATAGAATATTGAGGTATAAAACACACTAGAGATGTCCTGGTTGAAAATAGAATATTCAGGTATAAAACACACTAGAGATGTCCTGGTTGATAATAGAATATTCAGGTATAAAACACACTAGAGATGTCCTAGTTGATAATAGAATATTCAGGTATAAAACACACTAGAGATGTCCTGGTTGATAATAGAATATTCAGGTATAAAACACACTAGAGATGTCCTAGTTGATAATAGAATATTCAGGTATAAAACACACTAGAGATGTCCTGGTTGAAAATAGAATATTCAGGTATAAAACACACTAGAGATGTCCTAGTTGATAATAGAATATTCAGGTATAAAACACACTAGGGATGTTCTGGTTGAAAATAGAATATTCAGGTATAAAACACACTAGAGATGTGCTGGTTGAAAATAGAATATTCAGGTATAAAACACTCTAGAGATGTCCTGGTTGAAAATAGAATATTCAGGTATAAAACACACTAGAGATGTGCTGGTTGAAAATAGAATATTCAGGTATAAAACACACTAGAGATGTCCTGGTTGAAAATAGAATATTCAGGTATAAAACACACTAGAGATGTCCTGGTTGAAAATATAATATTCAGGTATAAAACACACTAGAGATGTCCTGGTTGAAAATAGAATATTTTACTTCAAATTATGACTGACCTGAAAGAGTTCCATCTGACAAGGGGAAAGAGAATATAATGGTTGCTGGATTACCATTTAAAGCTGGGAGAAGTGTCCACAATCGACGGTATTAATTGAAGTTTTTATGTTAATGATTGATCTTAGATGAATATTTTTCATATTGTCTGTTCCAGATTATTATAGGTGATTAATCTGTTCCAGATTATTATAGGTGATTAATCTGTTCCAGATTATTATAGGTGATTAATCTGTTCCAGATTATTATAGGTGATTAATCTGTTCCAGATTATTATAGGTGATTAATCTGTTCCAGATTATTATAGGTGATTAATCTGTTCCAGATTATTATAGGTGATTAATCTGTTCCAGATTATTATAGGTGATTAATCTGTTCCAGATTATTATAGGTGATTAATCTGTTCCAGATTGAAGGATGACCACTCATATATTATTTCTGTGCACAGAACATAATTGCTTTCATATATTAACTCATAGACTGTACTGGCCTTATAACTTTTTTTTTCAATTTTAATCTTTATATTTCAGATTAGATTGTGGCGGAAAGATTGATCTGGTAGTTCTGTATGCTTTTACAATGTTTTTATATCAAATAGAAGAAGAGCGTATATTACTTCAATT